CAAAAGAGTCGTCAATTTTACATCAGATCCAAGACTTTCTGTAGCTTTAGTTTATTCTTCATTCTTCTCATGTGTCAAATCAATGCTTCCAATTGTGTCACAATTGAGTACAAACCGCGAGCCCTTCCAAGTGATGTCAACTGAGAAACTTCTGGTTCGACAGACAAAAGATTCCTTTTCTTATGATATAATGTCGGATCACATCCCGTATGTGGACCTCACTCTAGAATACGAACAAATAACTAACAGCGGGACTGATGTTGACTTGATTTGCTATATTGAAGACAATCATTTGCATCGATACTCAATGAACACTATTTTAGAAACTATGAAACTATTGGCCTCTCATTTAGAAGAGTCTCAATTCATAACGAGAAACAGTTGGAAAAGCATTACAAGTGACCTGAATATCAATTGGCACCGAAAATATCTGCTTACCTGTGCTTTAGTGCCGGCGTTTGTCTCCAATTATGTGCGTCTCTTGAGAGGAGAGGTAAGGAACCAGAGAATCAAAGACAACGCCTTATATCCGATTGATGTGAAGAATGGATCGAAAGTGAAATTCACGGCCGAAAGTGTTTTCCACAAGAATTTCAATTCAAGCGAACAAATGGAGAGACTGACGAACGGTATTCTCATATATTTCAAGAGTTTCTTCTCAGAAGACGCCCGAATGCTAACCATTTGCGACGCCTCTGAGGTCTCGCCCATCGCTCTCCTCCTCTTCTCCAACAATAAGTTTGAATTCAATTTCAGTGAAAATGTGACCAAAAATATGGACTCTAACCACGAATGTGTTGTCGCTTTAAATGGTAACACATATTTGAACTTTAAAGTGAACAGAGAAGACATGCAATTATTGAGTCGTTGGATAACTATTTTGGATCTCTTGTTTGAATGGTTTATAATTCCCAAGCATTTAGTCGACGAAAGTGATGACAATAATGACGAGATTTGCTCGTATTTACGAGATTTTGTTGATTTGACAGAAGAGCTACTCAGGGAAAACTCTTTTTAATGTTATGTTTTCAAACAATGCTATTTATATTGTAATGTTTTACTAATTGAAAAACAATTCTTATTTATAACTGTTTCAATTGTTTAATTGAAGAATACTTTATTCAAATATTATTAAAGGATACATTTTATGAACTAAATTTTGTACATTTATTGTAATATAAGATAATTATATATATAATCTTTACAACCAATCAAAACACAAGTCGAGAAAAATTGTCACAAAAAAGAGAGTTAAGCGTATAATTAATAAGAATGCAGTGAATTTTCATTAGTAATACTTTTGAGGGTATTTCCAATTGATAGGGATTCAAACGAAGCACTTATAAGTTTCGATGAAAATTCAAATACGATTTCAAAACCAAAGGAAGCGGTAATGCATTAATGCTTTGTCGCATCAAATATGAATAACTTTCTCTATCCTCCTCCACATCCCTTTTCTTATTATCCTCATCCGGATCCTCAGCTTTGGTGTCGTCATTGGATACCGTACTCACCATTTCGTGATCACAACTACTTGTATCCGAGTCTGAGTCCAAGTTTGCCAGAGCTATGCGTTTGAATATGAGTCCAGTCGCGCGACGGATCCGGTTTAGAGGATATTTGGGCGATGAGTTCGAAGAGTTTGAAGCTTTGGGACCCGAATTGATACCATTCGACGAATGAGTGGACGGATTGTCCTCTTCATCGTCTGAAAGATAGTACACGTGTTTAACACAACAAACTATAAGTCGAGTTGAGTGTCAAATATAGACCTGTTATACTAATACTCCTTTTTGAGCGCTCATTGGTTGCACTCATGTCCTGTTCGTCGCTGTCCTCCAAATACATGTCAACACAATTCCTATCATCAACTCTGCTATCATTTGCATCATTTGGTTCTTGTGCTTCATTTCGCACTTTTGACTCAGAAATATCACTCGTGTTGTGATCCGATTCGTGATTATTGACTACTTGTTGAAACACAGCCGACAGGGAGGACGCGGCGGCCGCCACCACACGACTCGAGAAGGAGTCGCTAGAGTTGTCTCCATTTGTATGTCTTTGATTTGAAGTGCTATTTGTGTCATCACTCATGACATCGTTTTCTTCGAAAATGGGAATAATTACGCGACGATTACATCTTCGCGGAGGACGTCTGGCTCTACCGCTGGAATCGGCGCTTCTATTCTTTCTCGGCGTTTGTCTACTTTTTGAGGCATTTTTCAATGTAATCGACGGGTGCTCTGCTTCGGCTCTCTTTCGTAATTGAGTCCTAATTACTGACCGACAGATCTCTTTAAGAGATAGTGATTCCAAATCAGCTGTTCGTCAAAGAGATAAATGTTTGAAAAATTGTCAGATAAGACATTGTGTGGATAACTCACGCAATTTAACAGTGTTTAGAGCACTGTTTTGTGTGGGAGTAACCAATGGTGCAAAGGAGACGGGAAGTACAGACTTGACAGTCCACGACGTTTCTGAAGTTCGGCGTATTTGAAGCAAATGCTCATTCAATGGCATAATCAGAATCCCTCCGACTTTAATCAGATTCTTCATATAGTTCTCGTGTTCGGGAGGACATGAGGCGCCGCAATAGACTCTATCGTATTGTCTGACGGATGTCGTGTCAATGAGCAAACAGTTCCCGACTCTGAACTTCGGTTCGCAAAACTCGTATTTGTCGACAGCCGGAGAAGTCAATCGAAATTTGTTTAGCTTTTCGTTGGCGTATTCGACCACATCTTCGTGTAGTTCCACGCCATGACTCACACCATAAGGACCCAGAATAAGGCCAACCATTGTACTCAGATATCCCGTCCCACTGCCCAGATTCAGGAAAGATAGGCCCGGCTCTAGATTCAGCGCTTCCATCACTTCCGAGTAAATACACGGCGCTGTCCATCACATACAGAGTGTTATTGCAATGGAATTGGATGTGGTTGTGGTGGTAGGTCGTAGGGAAAGGTAGGGGCAGTTAGGGGTGCAGTGATACCTGATAGGTGAAGGTTGCCGTGTTTCCAGGCCAGGTCTCGGTAGGCATTCTCAGAGCACCCGTCGGCGTAATACTGGGCCCTATCGACGGCCCTGAATATACCCTCGATGTGCAGAGACTTGATATAATCGGCTTCAACCAAGTTGTCCACCAACTCGTCGTTGTCCTCACCCGCACTCACCGCTCCTCCCATTCCTCAACACTACTGTTCCCTCCAATCGATGCAATCAATCAACTATTCATTTCAATCGCCAATACATTTGAGTCCAAATAAAGCGATTCAAATCAATGTATAAACATATGTATTACAATGTATACTGTATTCATAAAAACGCATAAAAAATTCATTCAAAGTACTTTGTGTTGAAATCAAAATTATATATTAATTATACGGTAAACAGTAAAACTGTAAATAAGGTTATTATAAGATTTCATAAGTCTATTCATTTAACGAGAAATTAATTAACCCCTAATTATTTGAATGACTTAATGATATTATACTGTATTTATAGCGATTGTGTTATGAAATATAATTCATTATAAATGCAAATCTCATGAAAGCATTCATTCACTCATTTATCCTTCACTTCATTTGCTTTCAATCACATCAATGCATACAAACCTAATGTAACACTCAATTCAATGCTAAATCACATCTAAATTATATGCCGTTAACTGCAATATTCATAACATTTATGTAAAAAACTATTAATCAGTTAATTGTAAGAGTAAAGTGAATACAAATTTCAAACTGCAGTCAAGTGTTTACAGTTATGAATGTTATATAATAGTCTTATCTCTCAATATAAACAAATACTAAATTTTGCTTTCATTTCAAATCACAGTCATATGTATTATGCGATTAAAGTAGAAATCAATAAAACATAACAAAGAGTATGGCATTAGAAATGAAATCAATTGAATTTCATGGCAATGAGTGGTGCAATGGATGCGAGACTTACCCATAAAAGTGACAATTAATGCATTCAAGTGTAGCCTTTTGCACAACAATTAGTCCTCTAATTCATTAGTTGTTTGCTTTAATTGCCTTCACTTTGAACAACAAATATTGTAAATAATATCAATAAACATACAATCATTTAAAGTGCAAACTTAGCCAACACTCATCCATTACGTCCACAACATTCACCACTTTTATACCTTCATGTCACACATCTATCCATATAGACATTTACTAACAGTTAAGGTGGACAAGTACAATTGAAATAATCAAATTAGTAATTTTTAAATTCATGTTAAATCACTAACTAATGGATTCATTAAATATAAGCAATTTATAGAGACGTTGTCTATTAGAGTGAGACAACAGCTGACAGACATTCACGTCATGTGTCTCTATAGGAAATTGCATCCAATGATAGACTCGGACAATGACTACACTATTACCTCATTATAATGACATCAATAGTAATTAGAAAGTGATTTAAAGTGACATAATTAGCTTATATTGTCACATATTATGGTCATTCAAATATAATGATATATTTGTTTGCCATTGTGTCGCAATGAATGGTCTAATTTGAATGAATAGGATTTCAAATGAAATGTATTTATAAATGCTATACATTTGACACTTTCACTGACAATGCCTTCAGTTTTGAAACACTTTTCATTCACTCTTTCCTTTCCTATGCTTTCATTCACACGTAAACCCAAACCCATACCCAAACCCATACCCCTCGCCCACTGCAACCCAAACCCAAACCTATTCTATGCTATACTACCCCTAACTCCTGCTAACCTCCCCAATGATGACGAGACCATAATCTTTGATCTTATTTGATCTGTCGGTGACAGAGATGATGACAAACAATGATTGAGAAAGTGTTCAATGATTTGATTGATGTCTCGGCGGAAGTGATGACTAGAATGGATATCTGATCCAAATTGTGTTCACTTGACCATTGAGTCCATGGATTCATTGGTTGAGAGAATGCACGAAATGGTGACCGAAGCGATGGCTGATCCGTCCATTCATTCATATCATTGCATACTTGCAGTCATTTGTAGGCATCCCATGCCATCCATACTCCATGTGCTGTCTGTTTGTGTCGCTTATGATTGCATTTATGATACAAGTTGTGACCACAACAGGAGACTGATGGACGCCTATGGGTTCAAGTCTTATACTGTATTAAGACCTCTGAGTTAATGGCAATAATTATGATACAAACAAATGACAAATACTTGCACTAAGAGTACATAGATTTCTAATCAACTTTTACTATTAGACTAATACAGTAGTATTAGTGCACTACCATTCAGTATTCATATTCTGTGAATATGCAAATCAGTTACATAAAGTAACTGGGTACAACTTCTAGAAGTCAATATACAATAAGATTGATTGCATTGATTGAATGCTTTCTAAGAGTAAATCAATTGATGGGAACAACTGCTGGTTTGATGTTCAGACTATCCATCAAATGATTGTATGTCTAGTGAATGGATGCAAACCTAAGTTAGATTGTGTTGCATAACAATACAGATATACTTCATATGAATGGATGGCATTTGCAATCATTGTAAGCGTGGTTGTGGGTCAGTAAGAGTAAGATTGTGGATGAATGGGACCTATTAGGTGATGATCATTGATGGTGACCATTGGTGGCAAAGAAGGTATGCTTAGGTATGCGTTGCGAAGTATGCGGTGATTGGTTGTCATTTTGGTTGGGGTAGTGGTTGTGTGAAAATGAAGTACTGTATGTGGGTATGCGCATGCTACATGGGCACAATTGAATATAGCCAGTTAAGTTAATTCCAAGTGAAGTCGCGTATTTCACTGAATGGACACTAATTGCACGTAAATGACAATTAGTGTATTGAGTGTACGGAAAGGTGTTTAGCTGTGGTCTGTCCGACGTGTGGACACAGTTTGAGGCGGTGTTGAAGAGTTTGCACACAAACAGTGTGTTTGTGTCATATTGTGTGCTATTGTAGTGAATGCTTACATACATTGCATACTCTATATATCGGTGTATAGAAGCAAAGCCTAACTCACATTCACTGCTAATACCCATACTATTGAACATTTGATCCTTTTTTCCCACAAACTCTTCATTTCATTCATTTGTCGGCCAATCATAAGAACTTTTTTCTCTTTGAAAACTGTCGACAACTCATACCTCGTATCAGACAGTGATGTCAAAAGTGTCTGATAGTGGTTCGGACACCAGTAATGCAACTTTGATGAACATGACTGAACTCAGCAGTACTGTACCGCCTATAGAGCCGGTGGTGACCCCCACCCCCACCCCCGCGCCCACTGTCGCCGATAAGATTGGCGTCAAACAGATGGTGGATGTGGTGAATGTGAGCAGAAGTGGTGGTGAATGGGTTCCCATATCTCTCAATGATATGCCAATTCAAAGTCAAAGCAATACTTTGAATATAATAAACAGCACTGAAATGAGGGCCACAATGACCACAATGGCCGGTATGACCAGTAGTATGACCACTGGCACGACCACCACCCGCACCATTGCTCCCAAACCCATCACCACATCCACTCTCCCCATTAGGTCCGACACCATCGCTGGTAAGAACAGCTGTCATCAGTGAATCCATGTATCGCTCAAACTATACTCACATTACAGGCACTGTTGGCTCAAACTTAGACAAAACCCAAACTGTAATCATCACCACTTCCTCTGACTCTACCGTCAATTCAACCATTTCTGGCAATAAGTACGGAATAAATAAAGTGATTCCCGTATGTATTGACTCAAAAACTCATTGACAACCCACTGATGACTAACTCTTTTCATGAATGAACAGATAAGTAGTCACATAGCACTAGTAACCTCTCCTGATGGCACCTCCATGTTAGCGGTTCCCATGTCTTCCTTGGTGACCAAAGGCAATGTCATAAAGCAATCGGGAACCCCGGTTAATATATCCCCGGCCAATTTGAAGGCCAAACCTCCCATCATAACTCCGCTCAAGATCCTGCCATTGATCACATCGACCACTGCTTCGTCAGCACTTTCGGTGCCGACGTTACCCAAGACAACCACTGTTCAGAAATTGATAGCTCCCGCCTCTGTCGCTATCAATAAGGCTATTAGTAATCAATCATTTACTTCAGCCAACACCGGGGTCACACTAATCCCCACCTCTATTCCCAAGTTTGTCACCTCTAGTGAATCACTGCCAGAAACTACTGGTGCCTCAAATGTGGCCAACAATTCAAGTGTTGAAATTAAAGTCGAGAATGTCTTAAAAGGTAATGCTTTTCGTTCATATCAGACAATTGCACACATATTTAGTATATTATACGTGAATTGATATTGCTGTATTTTTTGGCATAAGTTTTCATTATTGCAAGAATCATACCGTAATTATATTGCTGTCATTTGCATATCATTTGCCTGTTTGTAGCGCACGAATGTACAGTAACTTTTATTTTGTTTGCCTATTAATGCTTTAATTTAATTTAGTTTAATTCAAATCAATTTTAAGCAATTATTTTAAATTATAGTTATTTTTGTTGTTGAATAATCACTTAGTTACTTGAAATATATTAGGGTATAAATTAAATATTTTAGTTAAGACTTTATTGCCTTTTAATACAATTTGTCTTTTCAATGATTTCTACTCCCTTTCCCCCATTTATTTGATATAATAATAAGTGATTGAAAAACATCTCAAATTAAGACTTGTTTTGAATAAATAGAAGAGGTAGTGGTTAAGACTGAAGACAACTTGCAATCACCACTTCCACCCCCACTGATGGCTCAAAACCTGACATTTGCAACGAA